ACCATTCATTTGAGGCAACATTAATGTATGCAGATCCAAATGAAATGGTACTAAAAAATGAAAAGTTGTAAGTAATTACATAAACTTAAGTAGTTAAATTTTATGCTTATGCAAAATTTGAATTTTCTGACCTATATATCTTTCCATTTAAATCAACTATCAATGCCCAATCATTATAAGTATACGGGTCATCTAGATCCGAGGCTTCCGTCTAAGTTACTAACAGAAATTTACTTCTTACAGGAAAAATTTCAATAGCGCTAACAAGTCTTCCATTAACGTCCAAAAGACGAAAGTTAAAATCTATTATATCCAATTTAATATCAATTGGTACCACTTTCCCACCAGGATAAATCATGCGAATTGACAAGTAATTATCTACCCACAGTATACCATCTTCAACAGGGTATGATTTATCTTGACGAGTGATATGAACGACTATCGTGTTATCATAAAAACTAACCATATTATATATAATGGGTGCTATTTCGTTGTTCTTATTTTGTATGTCATAATATGTAAAAATATTTTGTGTATTTATTGGAAGTATCATCAATGAAATAATTGCGAAAAATATATAATTATTAAAAAGATTCATTATTATTAACTTTTTGATAAATTTATGGTAAATTGAATATTTTAGCAATCAGAGATAACGAAAAGATACAAAAGGTTTTTATTATTTTTCGTCCAAATGGAGTCCAAAATTGGAACCTTATGTGAATGCTTACTATAAAAGGAAAAAACAATATCTCATTTTTTAGATGTATTTAAGAGGATTATTTTTCGCATCGCACGAAGTATCATTAGCTTACTATTTGTGACTTTATTTTAAGGTATTATTATACATTTAAAATTCTTGCTTTAAATTATACTTTGTTATAAGAACATTCATTTGTTTTTCGTAGGCTTTATTTAAGAAGTTAAGGAAACAAAACAGATCTGCCTGGCTGCATTGGCTGACATGGATGCTATTATATAATCTTGTGTATAATCAAAATTAAATTGATGATCAATTCATATCACATGATACAATTGACGTATGATAAATGAAATATTGTTGTATTCAGTTCTTTCGTTTATGTATTTATAAACAATTTTAAATGTAAGCAGGTTTTTTATTGAATAAAAATGAAGTAATAATGACAAATATTTATTTAATATTATCAAATTAATCAGTGTTGCCTCAACTACACTTTTGCTTGAAATTCTATAAATGCGGAATTACATTCAATCGTAACAATATAATATGAACATATCCTTCATATTTATTTCATTTTTTTATATAATATAATTTATATTGTTATTATAGTTAATATAGTTAATTTTAGTAATTTATTTTGTTTTCACAATATTTCTCATCATCGAGTTTATCTTTAAAGTTCAAAATAATAAAGAAATCATTAAATACATTTACTATTAATCCTCCTCGTGAGGTTTGATTGTAATTGTGATTAAAAGTTGATTAAAATAAGTTTTAAATATTCAGGCCGGAAATATTATGATATACTTTAACTTGCATATTTTAATCATAAAGTTTTACAACCGCATATTTAACATTTTGAATCTCTCATCTACCGTGCTATTAATAAACATGCAGTAATAAAAAAAAAGGATCAAAGCGTCCCATTTGAACAAAGTGGGTTTTTTTTTTGAATTATTAATTAATTTGCTATTTGTAGTAATACTTTAGTTCAAATTTATATTAGGCTATATAAGTTAATTATTTATTAAAATTGTACACTGAATACATAGAATATAAAAATACACTACAATAAAAAAAGACAACAAAATACTTTAAGTTATAATTATCATGTATCTGTTATATAATAAACTTTTCGCGATAACATTTAGACTTTGTTAAGAATTATATATGATATTAGAATAAACTAACACAACAAGAATCGGAAGCTGCTTCTTTCTCATTAAATATACTTATTACAACGAGTTTACCTTAAAATATATAGTTAATAGTTAATAACGCGTCCTAGCAAATATTTTAATTAACATTTATTTATAATTTACAATTTTTAAACAAAAAAGCAAACCAATTTATATATTTAAAAAAAAATACTATACCAATACTAATCACATGTGATAAAGATTTTTTAAAAATGTAATCGAATATCGCTGGATATTCGAAGATGTTTTTGAATGTTTTCGATATTTCAAATCGCTATTTGAATTTCTAACGGAAAATATTGAATAAGTAACCATTTTATCGTTTCTAAATGTTTTTAAACAAGAAATTCTAGGCTAGATTTATTACTTTCTTTTGTCATATTCTTAATTATTTAAGAAATAAAATTTATTATTATCAATTTCAAAGTTTAAAATTTGTTTTGAGATGATAGAGTTCTTTTATTTATATTCATTAACCATTTATCTTTATAATTTAATTTGTCACAAAAATTTATTTTTACCTTGTTTTATAAGTTATTGTGCTTTGCAGCAATATAAAATTATTGTTCAATTCATAATAATGATCAGTTAGATTTAGCCACAAAGTGGCTAAAGTTGACCGGTGTTAGACCTTAAACCAAGTTAACAAAACTAATAAATTTAATATCACAATTATCTCGAAGGCCTTTCCTAAAGAGAAATTAATGATTATCAAATAAAAATGATTTTATTAGTAATCAATATCAATCCTATGATGAAGACAAGAAGAAGGTTGAAAATGTAACTTTATTAAAACTGTAGAGTTATAAGTCTAGTTCCAAGAATTATTCATAAAACTATCTGATCGTACTCTATTTACTCAAGGTCAACTTACAGGTCTATTTATATAAAATTGCTAACTACGCTTTTGATAATTATAAACGATACATATAATGAAAACTAGATAATATAATATAAGTAATAAAAAGAAGACTATATAATATTCGATATATGTATTATAAAGATATCAAATAATACATGTATACATGTTTAACACAGTGATGGCAAGTGACCCTAATGACCACAAATGACTCAAATGACTGGTCATGTATCATTTGGGTCATTTCAACATTAAATGACAAATGACCAGATCATTTAGAAATTATATCATGTGATCTTAATAATTCTGGCCATAACCATAATAATTATGTTTCGAATGTTTTGATAAATATTTCACGTGATATAAATTTGTAATTCTGGCCAACATATAAAATTTGGCCTGTATTACATTTAAATGACCAAATGACAAATGACCTCAAATGACCAGGTCATTCAAAGGTCATTCAGAGGTCATTTCAAAATCACCAAATGACTTTCATGATTTTTAGCGCAGTGTAAGATCATCAACTTTTATTGCGTAACCTTCAAAAAATGTCACGAAATTTCAAGTGATATAATTTGTCACCGGTGTCACTTACCTCCGCGTTTTCATTTTTAAGTATTGTGAAGGACAGAAATCCTATTTGTCACCACTATACGTCACATGTACGCCACAATTAATTCCAGCCAAATGCTGTGATGCTGGCCATTTCGTAACATTTTTGAAGGTTACACAGGGGAAGTCAAGATCATCGGAGGCGCAGAATGATTTGCGACTAACACTGGTCATCATTTCGAATTAAACAATAATAATTTTTGATTATTTATCAACGCAAGCACTATAACATAATAACAATAATATCGTATGATTTTATGTTGATTTAAATTAAGAAGAGAAGTACATTATCATTCTCTTTCTCGTCAATTATACTAAATTTTTTAAGAAAATGAAAACCACTTTTTAAGAACCATTTAAAGGTAAATTTGTGTACTTTTTAGTGATAACTTAATAACAAATTTTATTTAAGACGAAATAGAAATATATAACAAAATTTTCAACTTTGAATGAATTCTTCGAATTCTCTCAATATCATCAATATAAAGTTTTTAGACCACATCAAAATTTGTTTAACAAATGACGGAGTCATAACTATACGTATAAAAAATTTTCGTAAGTATACCTACGAAGCATAAGCTTCTATTAAATGATATTCCTCTTGATGAACAACCATTCATTTAATCCATAATTCATGGCGAACGGTTAATAAAATTACTCGCTATTCTTTATAAGGAATATTTTTAATTTTATTTATTTATTTTTTAAAAAAAAAATAAAAATGATACCTTTATTTTTATATTGCGGCTAGCCCCCCCCCCCCCCGTTATGCATTAAAAAATAATTTCATTATTTGGAATTTTTTTTAACTCAACACTAATTTTTGATAGATTAAAATGTGATAAGGTCTTAATTTTATTCTCGGAGCAATCTTTCAATATAATGATCTATGCATTAGTCTATATGAGATATATTCACGTTCTTTTTAAGAATTCGCAAAGTTGTTATCGAAACCGTCGAAACTTTCGAGACCCATCGAAACCCATCGAAACTGTCGAAACCTGTCGAAACCCATCGAAACTGTCAGAAACAATTTCTGAAAAGTTTCGACTTTTGCCAAAATAGGTTTAGGGTTTTGCCCCGCAACTATAAATATGGGCCATTTGCAATGCAATAGAAAGAGAAAATTTATAATTTCTCTTTTATTGCAAAGGTCTACGTGATTTTGGATGAACATAATAGTATTTTGCCAACATAAAATTCTAACTTCATAATAAATAAAATCGTGAACGCGGAGGAAATCTCTTTGTAAATCTCTCTGATGCTTGGATCTATGAATATCCTTAAGTCACAGTCACTCGCTTAAATGTAGTTAGGTAAGGAACTAATTATCAAAATAAAATGTTTGTAACCAATATATAATATAATTTTAATTTATCGAGCATTTCTTCGACATGATTATAATAAAATTAAAAATAGTTCAATTTATTAAATAGATGGCACTTTTGGCAAATATTTTATTAAAATAGAATATATTTTACAATGTTAAATCTCTGCTTAACGCATTTCCATCTAGTAGCACTGTTTAATCATAATCATATTCATTTCCATAAGAGCGTCTCTCTAACTTTTCTTTCTGCAGAACCATAACTTTTAAAATCCTGCAAGCAACAATTCGATCGGCTTATTCCCATCTATGTTGGGATATTTTATCATTTTCTGCTACTTTGGATTCGGGACTTTCTCTTTCATTCGAAAATTTAAAAGTACTATAATTTACGAACGAAATTTGCTTGCGCTGCCATTTGAAGATTCAGGAGTAATCACAGAATGAAAGCCTAAGAAAAAAATTAATGCAAATTAATGAAAATGAGCTAATCTTCAAGTGATGATTAAACAATTTTTAAATGTTTTATTTTCAGTTTGAAACAAAATTATTTGTAAAAAAAAATTGGAGATAGAATAAGTTTTAACATCTCAAGTTATTTTTTAGTTATTAAAAGGATATATTAAATTCAATTATGGTGTTTCAAAAGGTAACTATTAGGCACACGTAAAGCTTTATTATTGAAATGTCGCATAGAATTTTTCTGAATATTTTATTTATTTATTTTTTTTGTCTTAAGGCAGGGAAAAAAGACATCTATTGTTTACGTTGCGAAGTGGTGATAATCAACTCTTCTTTAAAAGCCCAAATGTATCACAAATTACAAAATCGATTTTGATTTGTTTGTCAACGACCGATAAAATTTATTAAAATTTATTAAGATAAATATTTGAAAATTACTAAATATACTTTCGTTTAGCACATTATTTATTAACTTTATCGTTATTATCATACATCTAAAGAGAAATTACTTTACTAAATAAAAAATTTTATATATAATAATTTCTTTAAAATTGATTAACGTCATTGACAGAATTTTCGCGCGTTATCATAGAAAATTGTCATTTTTGTAGCCTATATTTTAAATCATTTTAAGCTTAAACATTTTGTCGGATAGTATAAATGAACTAATATTTGGAGAAAATAAGTCCTTGAATTAATCTCCCAGAGCACCGGCTAATCCATTTTATGCATATTTTTAACATATAGTACTTACTATACGAGTATGACTTTAAGAACAAACCTCCCATATAATAGGTTATTTCATCCAAATGCAAAGTAATACGTGTATATTATTAACTAGGATCATGATATCGATTCCTGTCATTAGAACATTGCTTTACAATAATATAACGATAATATGGAATATATAAAATTTTTTAGATGGCTACGGCTTAATCGATCGAACCAAAAAGTAAAAAAAAAAAAAAAAATAAATACATACCGCGCTTCTGAAGTGAAAGTAATGGCTTGAAAAAAATTTCAAAATTATTGTTGCGGTCCAATCCGTTGAAGCCGTGATCCGTGACTGTGCTAAAATAAAGTCATGTGATCTAAATGATCGACATAGTTGACGAAGTTGACAAAGTTGATAACAAAGTTGCTAAAGTTGTCAACGTTGATCAAGTGGACATATTAGATACATAGATTATATTTATTATATTTATTAATTATATCTTATTTATTATACATATTATATTTATCATAGTTATATTATTTGTTCTCTTTATTATATTTGTTATAGTTGATTTTATATTATTTTATTTTATATAAATATCTTGTATTTTCCCTTGAGTTGAAAAGTAACTCAAGTTGAGGTTTTAGGATAAACCAAGAGTTCAATAAAGGAATCGTTAAATTCATTTACTATTGCCTTTTGTCGTGCTTTCATATACGCGTGATTGTGATATTGTCTTGTATTTAATTCAACGGATTGAATTAAAAGTTTATCGTTTAAGTTTACAGATACCAAGCCAACACCGTCTAAATGTAATCACCGAAGCAATCTAAAATAATTTAATTAAATGAAAAAACAAATAAATATTTTATGTACAGATCCTAAAAAAAAAGAATAAACCAATGAAATAATTGCGATACATCCCGAAAGATTTCGCACGAAAAATATGATTATTGAAAATCGTATAAAGAAAAACAAAAGTAGTCTAACCTAAGGAAAAGACGTACACTTGTTATTTATTTCTAATCTTTTTATCTAGATAAGTTCTTATTTGTAAGTTTAATCAGCGCAAAATAATAAACTTTTTACATATAAGTTAAGCAATTGGTACAGGTTTTTTTTTTATACTAAAAATTACTTTAGTCTGTTCTACAAGGTATAATTCTATCGTATTGCAATTTTAATATTAAGATGAATGCTTTGTAGGACAATGATAAAGAAATCTCTAAAGATAATACAAGTTTGTCAGTTTAATATTCGCTGTGCTTCGAGCAATAACTTTCTTTGTCATATTTCTAAAAATGTAAATGTAATAAAAACATTTAATATGGACAAATCGGTTTCTGAAATACGTAAGGTTAGATAGGAAACGGTAAATAGAAAAAACCAGTGGTGTAGGATCGACCATTTGTGTAGTGTATGACGTAAAATAAAAAGAAGTGTATTATGTATGATTTATGAAACAACTACACTGCACTGTTTATCGTGACATTTCAAAATCAAATATAAGCAAGAGAAAAAAATTCTCACACGTTAAAATATCTTTTATTGCAAAATCTCCAGAACTTGCGTTAAACAGTTATTAAAAATTTCTTCTATAGTCAGTGCTTAATATAGTATTATAAACTCTGGCGAAATCCGGATTTTTGTTACTCTATTTAGGTATATAGGTATATTATTTTATTTCGTTCAAATATCTATTATATTATCTAATTTTCTTTTAATCAGAGACAGTTTGGCTTTTGTTTTAGACAGATGCCAATAATTTAATGTCATTCTCAGGTATACTTGTGAGAAATGGTGAACGAAAATATAAGATTTGTATCTCAAAAGTCTTTCTGCATATAATCATACTGAATCTATAGATATCAATAGCTGTAATATAATTTTATACTAGAAATATCTTAGGAACCATAAAGGAATAGTTCCATAAATCTTATCATTGAGCTGAAGATTTACATATTTCCTAATTCGCTTAATATTGCAGGATGCAAACTAGTAGGTATAATAAATTTTTGATTATGATTATACAATTTATTATTCTAATCAAAATTTGCAATGAAATGATCTAATTAAACTGATTCATAATAAACATTAAATCTTCTGTGATCCTATCACGGGAATTTATAAAATAAAATTAATAATTAAAATAAGCATTATACCTTATTTAACTCTTTAAGGATATATTTTAGAATTATTTAGTTTTTATTTATTGAGTACAACTACATTTGGTTTACCATTTACATATAAACAAAGAAATTTAATCGATATAAATTCCGTACTGTATCTTAGATGTACAAGTGATGATTATATTAATTTTGTTAAGCTTTTAATAGAAATTGTGCGAAACATCGTTTCACATTTTAAATAAATCGATATAGCGTGGTCAAAAAATAATCATTTAGAAACTTTGAATATTCATTTTCATCATGTTTGTTTAAAAAATAAATTTGTAATAAGTCAATATTATTGAAATTCTTTAAATTTATTTGGATTATAATGTTTGTAATATTACAGTTTAATATATAAAGATTTATATATATTATAAATTCAATTGTTTAATTTACAGCAAAGGTTTGTAAGAGTACAGGGTAGATACGCATTAAAGAATTAGGTACATTTGGCAATCTAATGATCTTAATATTTTCACAGTTAAGATAAGTTAAGGTGTTTGGTAAAGTAGGTAAGCTAGTAAGCAGAGTATAACGGCAGTAGAGTTTTTGTTAGTGAGTTTGGTAAATTTGGCAAGCTAGTTATTTGCATAATAGAGCAATTAAGAGTTGTTAAGGTGTTGGTAAGGTTGGTAAGTTAGTTATTTGAGTGATGGAGCGATTGAGAGATGTTAAGGAATTAGGTAGAGCTGGTAAGCTAATTATTTGAGTAACCGAGTAATCGAGAGTAGTTAATGTGTTGGGTAAGGTTGGTAAACTAGTTATTTGAGTTTCAGAACAGTTGAGAGTTGTCAAGGAGTTAGGTAATGTTGGTAAGCAAATTAATTTATTATTTTCACAGCGGAGTACTTACAAATTTTGATATCTTTGTAACCTTACTGAGGTGTTTAATATATTATCATCATTTGTATCTGTAATAGTTAAAGTACTAATAGTATCATCATAAATAATATAATTCTAGGTTTTTGAACTTTTCTTGCAATTCTACATGCTTGGCTTTATCATCGACTTCTCGCCTCCTAATCTGTTTTCTAAATAATAATAGATCCTTGCTTGGTTTTGATTTCGTTTTCTTGTTCTATAATCTTATTTTTTAAAGTATCAATAGTTTCTTGTTGTTTTTGGTAGTAAATTCTCGTTCTATATCCTTTTCTTCTTAATATTTGTATTTCGACCTTAACTTTGATAATTCCTCTCCGGCTTTTGTTAAACAAACATTTAAGTTTTGAATATCTTGATTTCGTTTCCTTAATTCAACTAAGTTTTTGTCCCGTCAATAATGCTTTTAAATTTTCCAAATCTTTAACTCCTAATCCATACCATAATAAAGTGAGTACCAACTGATTGTCTTTGTCAGATTTCTCTAAATCCTAAATTCTTTTTTTCAAGTCTTTCGAATTTTCTTTTCAATATCATTTTAAATATTTATCCTTTTTAATATGGCAAATGTTTACGAGAATATGTTGTTATTATATTTACTTAGCGATGTCTAGACGTTATATTCGTTTTATTGAACTATTAATTCAAGTTCTTTAATTGCAAACTATAAAAGAAAATTCGGCAGTCCGAAGCAATCGAGCCCGAAAATAAAAAATTAAAATATGTAAATGTAAAAATCCAATAGAATGGAAGACAAATAACAATAGAAAAAAATCTACCTATTTTCGGTAAAAAAAGTCGAAGCCAATAATGAGTAAGCTCCTACCTATTAATCAATCGACGGATGCAATCCGAAGGTACCTAATCAAAAGAATAATAATCAATAAAATAATCAAATCCAAAAAAGAAAACATAAAAACAAACCTGAACAAAAGAAATCGTTTAAAAAAAAAGTTATTGAGTAGGACGCAGTAATTTGCGTCGTATTTAATTTATGCAGATTGAAATATATATTTTATAAATTTACAATCAAGAATATTCATCTCAAGTTCGCGCAAATACATTTTATTTTAAATGTATTACTTCGCATTTTTCGAATTATATTCCGGTTATCAATTTATGGTAGTTAATTTGAGATTAATTATATTCTCAAAATTATTCGTATGACAAAATCCAAATAAAATTAGTTAATTTCCAAAACCTTTTCTGCGCCTCTTGCAACGCTTCGTGTAACAAAAAATTTATTGTGGAAACATCGCATGAAATATGTAGACTATTGATTTTTCTGTTAAGCATAAATCTCATTTGAAACTTTTTTTACATAAATAGATGTTTGCTGATATTTATATAATTTTCTCATGAATATCTGTACGAAACGTTTGAAGGAAAGTTAATTGAAGTTTCGTGCATTCTTAAACTAATCAAAGACAATATTGTTCAAATACTTACTTTGACCGATCTGATTGGAAATGTGACACAAATATAATTAAAAATTAAATAATAAATAATAAAACTTAAGCGTTTTCATTTGTTAGTAAAACCTACTAACTATTTCCATTTAATTAAATACATCTGATTCTTAAATTTCGCACCTTCACAGGAATAGAAATTCCACATTAGAATGGCTTATTATAACTATAAAAAGATATGAATCTAAGATTTTCACTAACTCCTACATGACTGGCTGGTCCAAAGACGTTCTCCATATTATGATCATTGTATTCATTAAATACTAGATTGTGTAGAAGTTCTACTGAAACATAAATATTTTTTACGATTCACGTAGAATTTTCGATTTTCTCATAATGCAAGAGATTGTCCGTGTTACAAAATTTTCATACTTATTTCCGCATGTAATATATTTTTTTTTATATATATATATAAGTTGTGTGTTGAAACTTTTCAAAAAATTGTAAATTATAAATGAATTGTTAATTATAATATTTAATAGGCGCGTTATTAACTATCTACTATATATTTTAAGATAAACTAGTTGAAATAAGTTTAATGAGAAAGAAGAAGTTTCCGCTTCTTATTGAGTTGGTTTGTTCTAATATCATATATAATTCTTACCAAAGTTTAATTATTTCGCGAAAAATATAGAGACATGATTATAATAAAGTTTTATAGTTGTTTACTCAAATCTCATTTTTATTGTAGTACGTTTTAATTGTCCGAAGCGTAGCAGAGGAATATTATGTCCATGCAATGTCTGTCTGTCTGTCACTATGTGAAAATTCCTAATCAAATTTCGGGATCAGGTGTAACAATCAATATTTGCATGATCAGGTGATAATAATAAAAAAAATTAAAGTTACATTAAATTATTTTTTGTTTTATCGCTTCGGACGCAACACGGTTCCCATTCCCTAGTATTATTGGTATTCAGTGTATAACTTTGATAAATAATTAACTTATGTAGCCTAGATATAAGTTTGAACTAAAGTATTACAAATAGCAAATTAATAATTCAAAAAAAAACTACTTAATTCATAATCTCAAACGGGACTCTTTGAACCACTATTATCCTCTCATTTTTTTTTTGATTGCCGCATAATTTTAAAATATTAAATATGGGACTTCTGCGGTTGTAAGAATTTATAATTGAATATACAAGTTATAGTATATCATAACGCATTCGGCCTGAATATTCGAAACTTATTTTAATAACACTTTTAATCACAATCACAATCAAACCTCACGAGAAGGATAAATAATAAATGAATGAATTATTTCTTTATTAATTATAAATCCTAAAGATAAACATTATGATGAGTTTTCTTTCAAATACAAGATATTTTATACAAAATAAAATAATTAATATAATTAATTATAAAAACAATATAAATTATATTATATCTATAAAATGTAATAAAAATGATAAAAAATGATGAATCTATTTATCAGAGCATATTAAATATTTTTGTCAATATCATATACAAATAAAAATAAATAAATAAAATAAGTATATTCATTATCATACGTAAGTTTTATCATGTGATATGAATTGATCATCAATTTAATTTTTGTACTAGGATAAGATTTGATGTTTTGATTTGATATAATGACTCACAGCCAATGCAGCCATGCAGATCTGTATTGCCTTAACTTCTTAAATAAGGCATACGACAAACAATCAAAAAGCCTAATTTTAAATAAGAAATTTTAAATGTATAATAATCACTTAAAATCCTTTGCATAAATTCACAAATAGTTAACCAATGATGCTTCGTGCGATGCG